TTGCCTTCTTATCTTGGCTGCTTATCTTGTCTGTTTTTCTGCTGTGGGAGCTCTTCAGTTCAGCATGTGGTAGTGTTTAGCTGCATGGGGAGGGCAGGCACATGACCCCAGCTCAGAGCATGGAGTGGGAGGAAGGTGCACAGCCTAGCCTCCAGAGCCTTGGAGCAAGGGGAGGGCAGACACTCGGGAGCAGTGGCATTCCATCCCCAGTAGGCCTATTGTAGGCATTCTGGGGGCGGATTACGGGTGGGGCCAAGCTGGCAGTTTGGGAAGGCTGTGCCTTCCCCTGCCTAGCATACGAGCTGCCCCCATCCCTTTCCTGAGCAACTATTTTTCTTCCATCTTTATTTCTTGCATAGGCAGAGCAGAAGGTACGTTCTGAAACTGAGTACCACAGGCAATTGAACAATACCAAATCTCAGCCTTTTCCCCACATTATGTTAATTCCTGTATGCAAAAGGCACAAACCTGTTAATGTTTGACTCGCAGTGTTATCTCTTTCCAACACCAAGAAGAGATTGTCCCATGGGGCATGCATTTGTTTTAAAAGCTTTTGAAAATACTAACTGCACAAGGATGCTTATCTGTACTAAGGCTTTTGTGTATGAGAAGCTGATTTGTTCTAAGAGAATGAATGAGCAATTATGTTCTCAAAAGAGGATTTAGAGGGAGATACAAGATTAGGAAAGATTGGAAGTAACACATTGGTGGTGAAATATATTGAATTATATAGGCTTACTCCCAGAGAGTATTAGTGCATAATGATTTCGACCATTACAATGAAATAGTGTATTAAGGGAATAAATGATTGTCAATAAGGTATTTAAAATCTCAGTTTCTGAACCCAGAATGCTTAGATGTTACCTTTTAACATCAAATTGCCTTATCAGAAAGTAATTGGTTAGGAGAAGAACTCTGTCCTTTCAGTATTTTGTATCTGCCTCAGGGTGAAGGTAGGGTTATTCTTCTACCTAATACACATTTGTTCACATTGCAAAGCTAATCTACTAGGTGTTTTTTTTTTAAACAAAACTGGCAATCTCAGGAGAAACCAACCAATGCAAGTCAAATTATCTCTCATCCCTAAAGGAGACAAAGAATATTTTTAGATGAATACCTCAGTGCAATACACACTGTACATAATTGAGTTGTTACGTAGTTGGACTCAGGATAAAGGATATAACTTTAGAAATAGGAATAAAGTTAAAGGTTTTTTTAGGTGAATACTATATCTGTAATTTTATAGCACAATATATTTTTACTGACACATAGTACGTTGGTTGTCTATAAACTCAGATATAGATTGAAGAGTGCATGAATATATATTGTCTGCTGACTACCTGTTTTGTTTTTTCAGTAGTGCCCATCACCAGTGCACTTACAGTTACAATTATTGAATCTCGATGCAGAAAAGAAAGCAATAACCTTTCACTTGCAAATCAGTGTAGGTGTAGAGTACGCCTGTTAGTAGAGAAAGGGATCAAAGTGCCATTGTATTCCATGAACAATGAATAGACTTTCTGATGCTGTCTTCAGTAGATTTGAGTTTAAGGGCCATTTCTTGGTTTATATAATAGTAAAGGATTTAATTCTTTCCCCAATACTGCAATTAATCCAGACTTTCCTATAAATCTTCTCCTGAGACATACGGATTTAAGGAAAAGAATCTTTGTGAAGTACTGTCAGTTGTTCTTTTAGATAACATTCAGTAATTTAATTTTAAAGAGTTTTACGTTGGATAACAAGTCCAAACTCCGGGAGCTTTCTCTTTATCACTGCCTAATAATGATTTATCTCTGTGGAGCGGGACAAATAGTAGTTTGAATCACTTCCTCAGTTCTAGAACTGATTGAATATTATTTATTTAGTGCTACACAGTTTTTCAAATCAAATATTAGATGAGTAATAATTTGCATTATTACCCCAGTCCCACTGTTGATAATGATAGAAACTTCATAAATTTGCCAAAAATAAAATAAGTAGAAATAGTGGCATAGAAAAGGTGGATGAAGGAATTGACCGCCAGGAGAGAACTATGAGAGAAACTCATAAAAAAGAGAAGATCAGCAGGTAATGCATGACTTCTTCACCACATTGTATGATTTAAGATTATGGTTATCAGGTATCATTAATTCAGAAGATAGTATTGTATTTTTCCACTTAACCAATCTCAGAAGGGGTAGCTGTGTTACTCTGTAACTAAAAAAACTTAAACAACAATGGTCCTGTAGCACCATAGCCCTGGTCTACACTAAGGAGTTATTTCAAAACAACTCCCCTCATTTCAAAAGAACAAGTAGAGCATTCAAATACCAAACCCATTGTTTTGAAATAAGGGACTGGTTAATTCAAAATAATAATTTACGCTTTCCACAAGGAATAAGCCTTATTTCAAAAGAGTTATTTTGAAATAGCAGTAGTGTGGATGCTCCACTGCTGCTATTTCAAAATAACTACCTCCCAGAGTCATTCAAAGTAAGTATTCCCCAGTGCTTCCTGGGGCTCTAATTCGAGGTAGTGCATCCACATTAAGGCTATGTCTATACTACCAGGTTATTTCAAAATAAATTATTTTGAAATAACTCCTGAAATAACTATTTTGAAATAAGCTTATTCCTCTTCACAAGCAGGAGTTATTATTTCAAAATAACTGGCTTGGCAATATGGACATTCACCTTATTATTTTGAAATAACTCCTCAGTGTAGAATGCCCTAAGGAAGCCTGTCTCGGACAAATTTTGAGGCTTCTCTGTAGTGTGAACATACTATTTCAAAATAGTTATTTCCGGAGTTATTTCAGAATAATAACTATTTTAATAAATAATAATAAATAATTTCCTAGTGTAGATATGCCCTGATAGACTAGCCAAAATACATAAATATTATCATGAGTTTTTGTGGACACAACCTACTTCTTCAGATGACACATATGGAGCAAGAGGCACAGAGGTTGAATTATAAAGCTGAAAAGGAGCTGAGGAGGGAGGAGAAAGTATCAATTAAAGTGTCCGTGCTAAATAAGGCTAATAGAGTAGTCTATAAGTGCCTGGTATTAGCTTTTGATATCATTTGGGTATTGAATATAATGGCCCATCCAGTTCATATCTTTGTTCAAGCCATGTCAGAAAGTATCACTTTTGCAAATGAAGGCTAGTTCTGCAGCTTCTCTCTCTAATTGATTCCTGAAATTGTTTTGTAAGAGAATAGACACCTTTAAATCCTTTAATGAGCCCCTGGACAAGTTAAAATATTCCCCAACAGATTTCTCTGTTACCATTCTGAATATCTGATTTGTGTCCATTAATCCTGGAGACTGTCCAGTTTGGCCAATAAATATATATGTCAGAGGGGCATTCATGGTACTTGATGGCATATATCACATTAGTGTGTTTCTCAAAGTGGCCCATGGATCCACTCTGAGAAACCTGCTAACTGGCCACTGTGGTTTGTTTGTTTACTGGCTCTGCAGTCACAGAGCTTGCATTGGCTCTGATTTACCATTTGCAGCCAAGGAGAGCTGAGGGAATGAGTGTGGGCCAGGCTCCTGCTTCGTGTGGCTCCCCTTGGCTGCAAAACTGGAGCCAATATAAGCTGTGAGGCTCCATGGCTATGGAGCCAGTAAATAAACAAACTAGAATGGCCACTTAGCATGTTTCTCAGAATGGATCTGCGGACTACTTTGAGAAACACTGAACTACTGGATGTGCAGTTGTACAAGCCTCTGATGTGGTAGCTTATGTGGGTAGGTCCCCTGATGATGTCGCATGTGTAGATGTGTGGACAAGCTTGTGAGAGTGAGGGATCATTTTCCAGAACAAGTTCCAGATTGTTAATGATGCGCTGGAGGGATTTAAGTTGGAGGCTGTGAGTGATGACCAGTGGTGTTCTTTTGTTTGTTGGGCCTGTATTGAAGAAGCTGATGCCCGGGTACTTGTCTGGCTTTGTCAACCTGTTTTTTCACTTCCCAGGATAGGTATTTAAGTTTTAAGATTGCCTGGCAGAGATCCTGTAGATGTTTGTCTCTGTCTGTGGGACTGGAGCAAATCCAGTTGTATTTCAGGGCCTGGCTGTAAACAACTGATTGGGTAATGTGTCCTAGATGAAAGCTAAACAATCATTAATGGATTTAAAGGTGGCTATTCTCTTTCAAAACAATTTCAGGAATCAACTAGAGAGAGAGAATCTGCAGAACTAGCCTTCATATGCAAAATTGATACCATCTCACACGGCCTGAACAAAGACATGACCTGGATGAGCCATTATATTGAACACCCAAATGCCATCAAAAGGTAAGAATCAGGAACTTGCAGACTACTCTATTAGCATCATTTAACATGAACACTTTAACTGATTTTTTTCCTTCCCCTCTTTCTTCCTTTTCTGCTTTATAATTCAACCTTTTTGCCTCTTGCTCCATATTTGCCATCTGAAGAAGTGAGTTGTGCCCATGAAAGCTCATGATACTATTTGTATATTTTGGTTAGTCTCTAAGGGTATGTCTACACTACAGTGTTATTTCGAAATATCTTATTTTGAAATAGTTATTTAGAAATGGCTTATTTCAAAATAACACGTCTAGACACAAATTGCATTTCGAAATAGCGTTTTGCTATTTCGAAATAGTGCGTCCACACTGATAGGATGCTGAATCGCATTTAAGGCTGGACGGAACCAGTTCTGGCAGGACATCAGTTCAGGAGTTACCTT